GTCTGTGGGTGTTTTCCGACGTATCAGTGTGTGTATGTGTGTGTGCGAGAGCTGGTATTTACATGCTTACATTTCATACAAGCGTAAGAAAATATTTGCAGTTATATATGTTTTTTTTTTGTTTTTTTTTTCTTGCCAAGCTAAACTTTTGTGTGTACTTTTGTTTGGTTTTCTTTTCACTCACTCTTTTCCCCCATTTTTTCACGGGTTTACTTTGCAAGTAATATTTGGAATTTGCATAGCAGGGGCACAAGGATCTGAAGGATGTAAGTAAATCCAGCTTAAAGTCGCTCGCCAAAGAATGCTAAGCTAATTGAGGCAGCGGGGCAACCCTTAAATTCGCAACCATCAAGCTGACGATTTAAAATTAGCGAAAAGGTAAACAATTTACACAAAAGGTTGAAAGTGGTGCACGGAGAGAAAATTACTCCCCTTTATTAGTATATTTTTAAATAGTTGCAACACTAGTTTAACCCTTACAGTATTTATTTCTAAAAAATTAATTATTTTAGTGATGACTTAAAAATATTTTGTTATTTTCTTATATAAAATAATCACTTTCCCAATCTTTTGTATAAATATTTGGTAGCCAAAAAATACAATAAAAACGCTGGAAGCTAGCAATGTATTTCCTGTTCAATTTTTTAAGCACAGGTGAGTTTTGTATTTTTTTTTCAAAATAAAAAATACAAATTCTATTGGGTTTCCGCTTGTACATTGTGCCAGTTACCGAGCCCAAGTCCAAATGGCAAAGGAACTTCGCCCCCGGCTGTCAGACAGTCCGAAAAATGCAAGGACTGTGCACAAATATTTAACAGAATTAAACAGAAGGGACGATTGACGAGCGACTAGCCCTTGAAGGCATCGATTCTGCACGCTTTATTTACAAGTCATGCATATTTAAGTTGATTTCCATTTATGTTTCAATTTATTGTGTGCTCCCCAAATGTTCCCCCCCCCCCAAAAAAAATTCTACATATTTGCATTGGCTGTCGAGCTAATAAAATTTGCAATGCATGCGACGCTTGCATATGAAATACAATTAACAAATTGCCGGAACGGATCCCGAAAAGAGCAGGGCGAAAGGAGCCATAAGCGAATATTTGCCAACTAAAACGCCCAGCCGTCATCCCTCAAGCCGAAAATATTGCATTCGAAATCGATAAAATGTGCACTGGCAGCTCACCCGAAATGGAAAATTGCAAATGGCAGGAAATGAAATGAAATAAAGTGGGGGAAATGGGGGAAACGGGGAGCCCTCAAAATGGGGCGGCAGTACGTGCGAGTTCAGTTACCTGAACGGACTGGGAAATGCAGGAAAAGGCAGGGAAATGCAGGAAAATACAATGCAGGGAAACCCTGCGGATATCGGAGCAAGTGCTGCCAAAGAGCTGCCAGAGAAGAGTCCACAATGGGGCATTCGAATGCCGGGCAAGTGGCAAAGTCAAGTTCGACAACCGGGGTCACGATGATCGATTTGGGGATTGGGGCTGCACATGTGGATGAGAATTTGACATGCCCCAAGACCTTGCCCCTTTCGAAATGCATTCGAACATAATTATGGTGGTGCCTATGAGGATAATGCTAAAAATACGAAAGAATTGGGATATTACAAAGTTTAGATAAACTTAAAGACTTATCAGAGTAACTTAAATTAAAATCAATGAATTAAATGCCTTAGAACAATTGCATTCAAACAGAATTATAGTGGTGCTTATGGGGATATTGCTAAAAATACGAAAGATAATAAAATTACAAAGTTTAGATAAGCTCAAAGATTAATCAGAGTAACTTCAACTTAAAATCAATGAATTAAATGCCATAGAACAATTGTCAAAAAAGGGAAATTTAAAGTCAAACTATTTGTTTCATAGATCAAACAGTATGTGTAGTACTTTACTTCATGAAATAGCTATAATATTAATAACTTAATATTAATATTTAAAGTTAAATATATTGGTACTAAGAAACCTTCAGCATTGGTTAGAAATTAGGGAGTACACATTCCATTAAATACTTTCTTTCGGTAGATTAATTTATCCTTTTGATCGTATCCTTTTGTGGCAGTGTTGGTAAGACGGAAGAGAGGTTTACAGCAGTGTTGAGCAAGTAAAATAGAATCGACACGAAATGAAAGACGGACATTAAGAGGGGGAAATTCATTTACTCGCGAATCTTTCGCACACTTTATTGACTCGGTCACGTGAGCGGATTTTGTGAGTCACGTTTCGCGAGTTTTCCACACTCTCCATCCGATTTTCGCTCGTTTTTACTTTTTGCACGGTTTTTATGGCCGAGTTTTACCTTTCAACTTTAATGATAAAAGTTTTCAGCTCTCTTTCGGTGGTTCTCTAAGCCATAAAAGACTTATTGCAGCGGCCTAACAAGGTGGTGCAGAGTGGGTGGTTGGGCTGTTGGGTGGTTGGGTGGTTGGGTGGTTCTGGGTGGTTGCGGGTGGCTTCTGTCCATGTGCATTGGGCAAGCCATTCGTTATGGGCCAAACGTTTGGACGTTTTCGAAATTTATTACATTGCACCGACAAGTTTCGCGTGTTTCGCCTTTGCGCCTACACTTCACTTAGCACAACCACCCACTTTCTGGTGGTGGTGGTGGTGGTGGTGCACCACCCAGTCTGCACCACCCAGTCTGCAGGTGAAGTGCAACTTTTTGCACCTAAGAAATTGCGCAAGGTTCTCCGGGCCGGAATTTCCAGTAATAAGTTGAGAGGATGGCGTTGACAAGCCCGAAAAGCGCGGCTCAAAACGTAAACATGGTGAACGAGTCATCGTCGCCGTCTGACTGGTTTTCCCCCCATTTCCACCGTTTCATCCGCCCACCATCCCTCCCCCGCCCATGTTTTCCGGGTGCATTGACCCCCGCCTTTCGCCCACATGAAGCCGCTTAAAAAAAAGCGTCGAAAATGCAGCAGGCTAAATGATGAAGGCGCGGAAAAATAGCTGGGTGAATGGGAAATTGGGGGACGGACAGAGCAGTACATATCCTGTGCTCTTCACTTTTAAAGATTTATGTTCGACATTTGCAGCACTCGTTGCCTTGAAAGCCCTAAACGATTTTTGAGTTTTCAGCGGGGCTCAACACATCTATTAAATACCAAATAAAATTGTTTATAATTAAAAAAATTAAGTATTGTTTAATAAATACAAACATTTATTCATGGGAGAAAAAATATTCTTCCAAAATATTCTTCCAGTATATTTTTAATTGTAAACATAAAAAACCAATATGTAAAATAAATAAGTAAATAAAGCAAGTTATATATTGTTGTAAATGTTATCTAGTCTTATTGAAAAAAGTAAAATTATTCAGTTTTTAATAACATTATATTTAAAGTATAAAACAAAACAGTTCGTACTATTTTAAAATATTTTAGGTCCAACTCAATTATTCAATAAAAGTGAAACCTAGAGAATTTCGTGGTGCGACTTCGATGCCAAGCATTACTTATTTCGCCTGCAGTTTTGTCGGCTCTAAGTCGAAATAAAAGCCAGTCCCCGCACTTTTCCATTTTCCGAATGCTTTTCATGTGCGTCCAGACGCAAAAGTCAAAATGTTCGGTTCAATGAACGTTGAGAGTCCGGCGCTTTAATGCGCTTTAAGGACCTCGCCAACGGGGCGGCTGAGTGATAAATATTTATCACTTATTCGGGGATAAGCCGCTCCGCCGACCGAAATTGATTAATTGCCGCAAATAAACGAGGCCTCGAGGATGGATGATTGGCAAACTGCTCGATGCGGCCGCAAATCAAAAATACATAAGACGAATAAGACCCCATTTCTTGGCTTTCCCGACAACTTTCGTCACGTAGCGTCCATCAGTCGGAAATAATTTATCAAAAGCGTGGAGAGCAAGGCGGCTCGTATTAAATAATGACATGATGGCAGTGGAGGGAACTCCACTCCACTTCACCCCAAACCCCACATAATTAGGCGACGGGTCCTCTTGAGGGACTAATTAAAATGCCCGGCTCAACAACAGAAAAATTATAAATCACATTTCTTGTATTTGATTTCAGTTTCATTATGCAAATGTTGGCGTCGCGTAAACAAGACGGAAAAATGGCATAAACCAATTATGGGAAAGTGCGGGCGGGCATTTTCCATCGAGTGTCAAAGGGATTTGAGTTGCGGGATCCAAGTTCTGAGGGTCAAACGGCAACACTTTTTCAATTAACTTGGCTGTGAAAAACTTCCAGGGGGGAAATGACAACAAAAAAAAAACCCAAGAAAATTATACATTTTCCCTGGCTTTTTGGGGGATGAAAAACTTATGGAAATAATCACCCGAAATTATTCTAATGCGGGGGTGCGGTGATTGTTTTCCTATAGCCATGATTCCACTTGATTGTTTATTTTATTTTACTCTGTGATGCCTTTTAATTGCTTCTCTTGATAAATGGCTTTAATGGGTTGTTATTTTCAATTTGCCTATGTCAATAAACAATGAACTAAGCTGAAATTAATTATTTCAAATATTACAAATATAGATAAGATTTAAGCACTTAAGCTATGTAAAGCTTCATAGATTTTTTGAGCACTTATTATAAATGAATTCATTAGTATTCATGCTCACTAATCAATTGCAACATTTTATTTGTTTAAATTTTAAGTTTTATGTTTTGATAAAGGATGCTTTGTTTTATTCTAATTTAAAGGGTTTTTAACTTCTTGTTTAATCCCAATTTTTGTCTTTTTCTCTCGCAAAAGGTTCTGGAATTTGTTAACGAGTAGCTGGCATTTTATTCTGTACTTAAGTGCTAACAACTTCCCTAATCTCATTATCCTGCGCTCCTATTTTTTTGTCGAAGCGTAGGCTTTTCATAATCTAAGCAGCACTTCCATAGGCATTTTCCCCAGATTTCCCCGCCTCCCCGTAATTCCACCCTGGGTTTCCACACTCACGTAGTCGGTTGGTGAAACGTCAAAGTCAATAAGGAAAAAAAAAAGTTCGGAGGCAGTGTGTGTTCCTTTTTTCTTCTTTACCGAGCCATAACAAAATACAATCGGGCGGATCAGACAGACGACGACATCGAAATCGGAACGTGGCTACAACAACCAGGTGAGTGGCGGGATTTCCCCCGCTTTCCCCCGCTTTTCCAACCGCTTTTCCACCGGCTCCACACACACACACACGCGAGTCGCATTACGCGCAACTTTTTAAAAGTCAGGCAGAAAAATGTTTTTTAAACGCTAAATTACTTTTGAATGGCAGGTGGGCGTGGCGGCGCCTCGTCATGTGGGCGTGTCGCTGCGCCAGCGTCACAATTTCATTTTGTGCTTCCTCATTTAACCACCCCCCAACCGCCCCCCGCGAACAGCGCTTTTCCACCGCTTTTCCGCGACAACAACAAGCGCTTTGTCACAAGAGGGGCGCTTTTTTCGTGTAACGTCTGAAGAGCGGAAATGCTTATCCCAACACTTGAGCGTCACGTGCTGCCGCCGTCGCTGCCGCGTCGACGTCGACGCAGGTGTACCCTACCTGCACCTGAATATATATACTGATTATGGAAGATATATTACTTATGGCACTAGCACCAAAGCACGATCCATCGAATCTTCTTATATTTGTTAAACACCATTTGGGGTGTTCTCTTCGCACATATTTAAACGCTCCAAAAAAACCTTTTTACTTCCTCGAATACATTTGTAGTATTTGATATCTCTTAAAGTAGTTTTCATAACTTTTAGAAGTGATCCACCATTTACTTTACTTAGCTCTAAAAACAAAATGTAATCAATGTAAATTAATTGTATATTAATTAATAAACCTTTTGGTTAATTTATAAATTAAGATATGCAATTTTGGGTCACATTTTACAACCTTTCAGAAACTAGGAAAAAAGTAATACTATTGACCAAACTCTTTTCTTGGTGATTATTAAAACAAAAACCTATTTAAACTTATTTCATTTTAAAATATGGGCATTCAATTGTGAATGCTATAAGATACAGAAATTTTGGTTTTTCTTATACTGATGGTTAATCTGGGTCGGTCAAACACATGCCCTAGTCGCAGTTGCCCTTTTCAATTCCGCGCTTTTGGCAGTTAGAGTATTTAAATTTGCCGAACTGTGCCACGCAGAAATCTCCGCAGACTCGGCAACAGAAGCGCCTAAGGTCGTTGTCGTTGTCGCTGGGAAAGTGGAAAAGCGAGGAAAAGTGAGGAAAAGCGAGGAAAGGCGAGGTAAAGCGGGGAAAAGCGAGGTAAAGCGGGGAAAAGCGAGGAAAAGTGAGGAAAAGCGAGGGGAGGGAGACAGGTAAAGAGGATGAGGATGGGTGAAAACACCCTGTAGGTGTTTTGAATGTTTAGCTCAAGTGGCTTTTTAAAACACATTCTATGCTAATTAAGGGCCGGGCCCGGGCCTAAATGAGTTGTCGTTGTCGCAGTCGTTGACGTTGACGTTGACGTTGGCGGTGCCTGTCGTCGTTGTTTGCATTTGATAAGCCAAGATTGCTGCCAGCCAATGTAATCAATGCAGGACGAAGGAAGGAAGGAAGGATGCCATGGATGGCCATGCCATCATCATCGCTCATTGCGTAATCCTCGAGGAGCGGTGGCGAAATCGCAGGACCCCCATTTAATTAACGAATTAACAAAGCCAGAAGTTTCTGTGGTTTTTAAGTGATTTCGGGTCGCCCCGAGGCAAACATTTTGCGGCCTTGTTATGGCATAATTGAATTATTGCCATATGAAAAACCAAAAAAAAAAAAAAAGGCAAAAGAGCCGAACCCAAGAACCCAAAAACTCAAACCCATAACCCAGAAAAAAAAAAAAGAAGGAAGCGACGGCAAAGTTTCTTGCGCCCTTCATACTTTTTCCTTCACATCTCGGCCTAAATAAATCAAAAGTCTTTCGGGCGCTTAACAAAAAATAAAAGGAAATATGTAAGAAAAATGGGGAAATGCGAGGCAAAAGGCAAAAAGTCGGCGCCAAATTGAATTAGGGCTTTAATTGGGAAATTTGTGGGTGAACTCTTAAGGGCATTAATGCAGTTCAACCAGAATTATTTACATTTGTATCAGCCCTAAGATGTCATTTGTTTCAAGCTGATCTTTTGGGTCTTTATTTGTTAAAGTCTTTTAAAGTGTAACTCCGTCTTTTTTGGACTAGAAATTCTAAACAGGGTTAGCAAGTATTCTTTATTAGTTTTTTTTTTTAAATTGACAGATCATTTTACTTTTATTCGTGGCGTTTATAAATGAAAATAATTTTAAAATTAATGTCTCAAATAGCTATTATTTTGGGTATTTATATATCTTACACTTGATTACATCTTTAGCTGAAAATTAAAGATTATGACCAATGTGATGACTATTTTCCTATTTCCTAATACAGTTTTTAAACAGTGCTTTTTTAATTGAAAACCCTTTGGCTTCTTTATTTCCTGCTCTTTTTTCACCGAATTAACATTGTATTTTGAGTCACCTTATAAATGTGTTTTGTTTTTTGGCAGGAGTAGGACCTAGTATTAGTCGCCCCCCCACACACAGCTATGTTCATCCAACTGGTGCTCCTCTGCCTCCTGCTGTGGGTCTCCTTCTTCTGGCTGCAGTGTCGCTACCTGGATGTCCTGGAGTGCCTCTTCGCCTGGATCGCCGAGCAGCTGGCGATAACCCGCCGGAAGCGGGCCCGCGATGAGCGCCTCCGCCTGGACAGGAAGTGGGTGGACTCCAATGGCCCGAGGACTAGGGACACCAAGGACTCGACCGCCTCCGACTCGGAGAAGCAGGCCCGCGACAAAGGCGATGGCGTGCAGATGCTGCTCTCGCCGCCGATCAAGAATCGCCTGAACATCCGCGTGGAGCAGTGCTGCGACCTGATCGCCTCCGGTTTGGGCCTGGTCCTGGAGGACGAGGTGACCCAGCGGTTCGTGGCCGCCCCTGCTCCCGTCGGCGAGTGGAACCTGCTCACCCGCAACTTGCGGCACCGCAAGCGCCACCTCAACTGGCAACTGCGGCTGGTCTGGCTCCTCGGCTGGCTGACCCGCTACATCCTGCTCCTGCCCCTGCGGACCGCCGCCTGCTGGCTCTGTCTGTTCATGATCAGCGGGACGACGGTGCTCCTTGGCCACCTGCCCGAGTGGCGCTTCAAGCGGCAGCTGGTGGAGCTGGTGCTGCGCCAGTGCTTCCGCATCACGGCCGCCTGTCTGCCGATGGTGCGACGCTTCCACAACATCGAGCACCGACCCACCAAGGGCATCTGTGTGTGCAACCACACCAGTCCGCTGGACGTCCTGGTGCTGATGTGCGATGGCAACTACTCGCTGACTGGGCAAGTGCACGACGGCATCCTGGGTGTCCTGCAGCGGGCCCTGTCCCGCGTCTCGCCGCACATGTGGTTCGATCGCCGGGAGCTGGCGGATCGTGAGGCTTTGGGGTTGGTCCTCCGGCTGCACTGCGCCGCCAAGGACCGACCGCCGGTGCTGCTCTTCCCCGAGGGCACCTGCATCAACAACACCGCCGTGATGCAGTTCAAGAAGGGCAGCTTCGCCGTCAGCGATGTTGTCTGCCCGGTGGCCATCCGGTATGATCGCCGCTTCGGGGAGGCCTACTGGGACAGCACCCGGTACTCGATGCTCCGCTACATGCTGATGGTGGTCAGCTCGTGGTGCATCTGCTGCGACGTCTGGTACATGCCGCCCCTCAGTCGCCGCGGCGATGAGTCGCCCGTGGAGTTCTCGAATCGCGTGAAGGCCGCCATCGCCGCCCAGGCGGACATCGATGATCTGCCCTGGGATGGCAATCTGAAGCGCTGGAGTCCCGTGCGGGACTGGCAGTAGTAGGAGTAGCAAAAGTCCTGCAGACCACCTGATGTCACTGCTCCACACCCTCCCCAGATTATCGTATCCCAGCTTATCCCACACTTTTCATCGCTCCCGAGTATCTTGTAGTTTTATAATAATGTTATGTTAAATAAATAGTTCATATATTTTAGAGGGCAAATCAGAGTTGCTGAAAAGTATTGAAAGTAATTCAGCTCGAATATGAACCACAAATAATATTTTCAACTGTGAATGCCACTTTGTTGGAAATTTTATAACGAATTCAACGAGGTATGACATTCCAACATTAGACCATTATTTCCCAGGGTTTTGATTTAAAAACCAAAAAATGAGCTGATTTTTCCGGATTTTGGCCAAACTATTTTTCCTGTATGGTATATTCATAATTTTTTTCGAGGAAACAATTTTTGATGCAATTTTTTTTTGAGAATACCTCTTGATTGGAAATTGTATAACGAATTCAAGGAGGTATGCTTTTCCAACATTTGAGCCTTTTTTCCGAGAGTCTTTATCAAAAAACCGAAACTGGAGTTGCTTTTTGGCGATCTAGCAATGTCAATTTTTCCGTTTCTACGCAAAATAGTATTTCAATTATAAAGGTATCTGGTTGAAGTTTTCCCAAAAGTACTTTTACGATTGCAGGTAGTATATAAGTAAGATTGGGCGTATCGTATGACTTTATCATGTAGCTGCTATTGGAAGAATTTTAACTATACTAAAATTTTTTAACAGTTTAAAATTTATGATTTTACTTTTATAAAAGTCGAACGATTTCATCATATAGATTCTGTAGGAACGATCGAAAAATGTATTGAAAAATGGACATAGCTTTTTTTAAGCATACGCATATAAATATTAATTTATATGTATATGCGTTTTATAGAATTTTTAATTTTTGTCGAAGTTTGCTTTGTTTGTGGTTGTAATGCAATTTTCTTGTCGTACGGTGATTAAATTAAAGTATAGGCCTTAAATTTGAAGTATCGGCTGCATTTGAAGCTTAAATTAAATTGATTGAGTGAGAGTACACCTTAATCAGATATGATGTGGATATGAGGCTAGCACCCGCTTCGGGGACTCTACCGGATGACCTTGATACGACCTACCGTTTCGGCTGGACAATCTTTCGCTCTCCGTGGCGAATCGAGGCGTTGGGGCCGTACCGCCCGAGGAGGGCGCTCTGCGACTGGGAGACGCCGCCGGCGGCGGAGGCGGAGGCGGCGGTGATCGCCGCAAGGCCGCTGCGCAACGAGGTGCAGGTGGCTAGATCGCGGGGGTGGGCCAGCCCGTAGGCGCCGAAGGCCGACTGCGAGTGGACCGCATAGTCGAGGCCGGGCAGCTCCAAGGAGGCGATCGGGTGGATGCGGGTCAGCGATAGGGTGCTCTCGAGCACGGTGCTCAGGAGCGGGGCGCTGCGCAGGGATCTCAGGCTGCCGCGGCGCGTGAGCGTGTCCGGCTTATACATCCGGGGTTGGGGCCGTGGGGGGGGCCGGCCGACCCCCCTGCTGCTGCTGCCTCCCGCCCGCCTAATTGCCTGTCACCTCCTCACGACCGCTTGTAATTGTCGGCTCTTAAACGGTCGGTAAATCCGGCGTGCGGGTCATTCGCAGCAGTCGCTTTATGAGCAATTACGCGGGCTATTGTGCAAAACGGAGCGGGTCACGCAACTATTTGGACGGCGTCTCCTGCTCCCTGGACTTCTTGCTCGCTTGCTAACTTGCTTTCCTGCTCAGCTGCTGTGCTTTCTTGCTGTTTTGCTATCTACTGCTTGATTTATCTTCTTTCTTGCTCGCTTGCCAACTTGCTTTTCTGCTAAGCTGCTTTGTCTTCTCGCTTCTTTGTTTGCTATCTACTGCTTGATTTCCTTTATTTCTTGCTTACTTGCTAACCTGCTTTGCTTTCTTGCCGTTTTTGCTACTACTGCTTGATTTATCTTCTTTCTTGCTTGTTTGCTAACCTGCTTTGCTTTATTGTTTTTCTTTCATTAGCTGCATTTTTTGTTCGCTTTCTCCCTCTCTGCTTTTTTGAATTTCTTGCTTAATGCCTCTTGTTTACTTTAACCAGCCACCTGTTGGCTTTGCTTGCTCGCTTTTTCTTCTATTCTTTTATTATTTTCTGCTATTCTGCTTTGCTTTGTGGCTTTTTCTTCTCTTTCTGTTTGCTTCTTCGTCTGATTTTCTTCTATTCTGTTCGATTGCAAATTTGCTTTCTTGCTTTCACCTAGTTTCTTCATTGGCCAACTAGCTTTCTCACATTTCTTATATTTATTTATTTGGGAAAGCAAATCATCAATTGTATTTCCTCGCTAATTGCCTTTGTGCTTTACTTTTGAATAGCTTGGCTTTACTCAATCTCTGGCTTTTCTTGGCTAAAGCATGCTTCTGTCTTTTGATTTGCTGGCTTGGTTATTTGCTTTTCATATTGTATTGTCACCATTGTTTGCTTGCCTTCTTAAGATTTTGCCTGCTCACTTGCTTACTCTTCTGCCCTAGTGATCGCTTTCTTTTCTGCTTTTTCCCTGCTTGTGCTTTGCTTGAAGTCCACCTGCTTGTTCGCTTCGTCTCCCTTTCCTTCGCGTGCTTCCCTTTTGCCAACCTGCTTTCCTGCTTTTCTGCTTGGCTGCGTGTTGGCGTTTTGTCGGCACAAGTGATTGTACAAATTGCTCGTCGCTTTGTTGCTTTTGCTGTGCTTTTGCCGTCGCTCGTGTCGCCAGTTGCCGCTTTGCTCGGGCTGCTTTGCATACAAGATTTGATTTGTCAGATTGCAGATTGCCATTGCGATTGGGAGTGGACACGCGGGAGTGCCCCAACGGGGTTGCGCCCGACTAAACGAATATGCAAAGTGGGTGGGCAACTGGGGTGTGGGTGGCGCAAGTGGTGCACAACTAATTGATGGATGGCAACTGCAGCTCGGCCTCCGTCGCCCAATGGGTGCATTCGCGGCAGCTGTCGGCTAAGTGATTCATCGAAAGCAACTCTGATTGATGGCACTTGACACTAGGCGCTAATCACTAAGGACTATTCACTAATCAGCCCGACGCGCTAATGAACAACTCACTGAGATCCGCAAATCACTTACTTAGTTGTGAGTCCTTTGCTTTTCTATTCCCAGAATTTTATAGTAAACATTGTTGTGTTTTAAATTATTAAACTTTGTTTAATAGGTATTTTGCTGTCCTCTGATCTTGTAATCTTTTAAAAATCTTTTTTTAAGAACTCTTTCCTAAATTAAGTGAGTGAAAATCTCACCTCAAGTAAGTTCCAGAAAACATTTCCATCAACAGGTAAACATATATTAATTGAATTACTCACGGCAACACCTAATGAATTGTGTTTAATCACGAAACTCCTTTAGTTAACGTGTTTGGTTCTAATTAATAATTCATTCGTCAGGATTTCCTTGCGGCAGTTAACATGCCACCATAAAACATTGGTGCAAATGCTAAGCTTACCCCATAATTAATGTAAAATTGACTGATTTACTGTTTTCAGATGCTCATACTAAGTTGATTCAGATTTTGACGATGTGTGAAAACTAGTTTTAAGATATTTACAATTCAGATACTTAAAGCTATCAATGTTTGGGGTAAGTAGTTTGTATTTATTTGTAGAGGATTATATAATTATAGAAAATCCTTGGAGATCAGCAGATTTTCAAGCCTTCATTTGTTTGGTCCAAAAAGTAGACAAAGGTTTTATTCTTTGGATACTTTCAGGCTCTCACAAATGAGGTTTTGAAAACTGCAAGAATTTTTGTCCCAGATGTATGAAAACTAGTTATTAAAAAAGGGAGTATATTTACAGTTCACATACTTAAAGCTATAAATGTTTAGTAAATGCAGAAGGACCCTGAAATCTCGCTTTTTCTAAAACTGTTTCTTTGGAAACCAAAAGTGGTTTACTTTTGGTTTCCAAAATGGTGGTTTTGGAAAATTAGCGAGGTTTTCTGGAAATATATATAGATAAATAGAATGATAATGATTTAAGCTAGACTCACTTGTGTCAAATCTAAACGAACGATGATGAACGAACGTTGTTCTTGATAATGGCAATGGCATTGGCAGTGTTGGGGGCGTTATGCTGTTGTTGTTGTGGTTTTTCTTGTTGATTTTGGTTGTTGATCTTGTTGGTTAATTTTTGTGTTTTTGGTTGTTGCGGGGCAGCCCTCGGCCGCCCTCTCACTTTGGTGTTTTCCCCACTCGATTTTCCTCTGCCGTCTCGTTTTCCTCTTTTGTTGAACACTGAACACTGCACTTTTATTTTGGTTTTTTCGGTTTTGTTTTTTGGGGTTTTTTTTTTTTTAGATTTAGTTTAATGAAACTAGTTTTGAGTTTTTAGTATTTACAGTAATGTGCATGTCTTGATCGCTTGCTATTGTATTTCTGTTTTCAACTGATGATGTGTGGGGACAACGACAACCGAGCACTGTGGCACGATTGATTTATTGAGTGGGTGACTGACTGACTGACTGACTGGCTGATTGATTGACTGACTGACTGACTGACTGATAGAACCTACGTGTGAAGCCGCAACGAATCAAATGGGCAACCACTCCAATCGGGTCTCGCGATCGCAATCCTTGCGCCCAGGGTTGTTCCTGACTTGTCCAGGGTTGCCAGCTCTTTCTCTGGCCATTTGCCACCGAGTCCAATCCATGGTCTTCGTCCTGCGTCCTTCTGCGCCTACTACTCCACCTTCTCCGCCCCCCGGAATCCGGATCCGAATCCGCTCACTCACCGCCGCTCGCACATCTGTCTCGCCCTCTCTGTCGCACTCTCTGCCGTCTCACTTGCTCCTGTGGGCGTGCGTGGGCGTGGGGCAGTTGGAGCCGCGCCCCAAAAAAAAAAAAAAAAAAATACTTTCAGCTGTCCTCATAGACACTCGACGATCTGGAAAACATTGAGATGGATAAAGGGGAAATTTTAGTATGCATAGTAAAGTTTTTTGGCTAAATATAGTAATAAATTTTTATTGTTTTAAAACGGTATATTTTAAACCATATTACTCGTTAAATTGCTTTCTTATTTGTTTCCTATCGTTTATTTAAAAATGTTAGTACATCTTCTTTGATAATGATTTTAGTTGGTAATAAACACCATTGTAAAAATTGGATTTGCACATAAATATTTATGTATTTATATATATGTATACATCTCTTATATTCTTCCATTGCAATTCAAACAAAAGTTTCTCACAAAATGTAAAATCCGTTTATTAGAAATCAATTTTAAGCATAGCTTGATTTGTTTCTTGACCAAATTTCTTTTCATTTCTTGGCATGGACTGATAATTCTTGAAAACTCCTTAGCGTTTTTACGATGCCACAAAATATTCGATATATATGAAAATTTCTAATCGCATTCTGATTTTCGGTGGCTTTTCCGTGACCTATCAGAAATCAGCTGCGTTGAAGAGGCGAAAAATGTTGCCAAATTTCTACAGATGCCGTCCACGTTTGGGTCATTGGATTTTCAGTCATTTTCCACTTAGGTTAGGTGGGCGGGGACCGCAAAATGTTTTGAGCCACTCAAATGCAGCGCCCTTTCCCATTTTCCCGCTTTTCCTGCGGGGCGTATAAAAGTGGGCGAGAGGGAAATTTTGTGCCCAACAGCAAAAATAATGAAAGTATTTGCTTTGCTAAGCACAAAAATATGTCAAAGTAAATTTCTTCTCATTTTTTTTTTCTTCTTCTCGACCCGACCTGCTTTGTATCCTTTTCCCCTTCCCTACGTGTGTGTGTGTGTGTGTGTGGAGGGGGGAAATGGGCGGAAAAGTAGGAGTGGCAGGAGTTCACTTAGGTCGCGATGGCTGCGTTGAAATGCGTCGCACGTAGCCATGTAGCAGATTTTCTTTTTAATATTTATACGCCCATCCACCCCCCACCCAACATCACCGCGAAAAACTGCAGTAGTTAGATACTGGCACTGCCAGTTACTTCAGATATTACTGTTCCAGCCACTGGCACTGCTTACGGCCCGAACTTCATTGCGGGTAGCCTTTTTTCGGGATACCCTGTGGCAGGACCTGCTCGGGGCATCCCAGTTGGCCAGAAGTTATGGCTAAATTAGTGGTAATTTAGCTTACAAGTGCTCTGATATTTGGTTTGGAATAGAGCACAACAAAATAATATTATATATAATATCATTTGCTATTAGAAATGAAATTAAACTTCAACACTTTATTTTAGGCATATTACCTCTATTTAGTTCTTATATGCATTATCCTACCAAAAATGTATAAAATATTTGCGAAAAATACATTTATAGAATAAGTTATGCATTAATTATGGCTTATCTTTGCATTCACTATCACCGCTTATCTTTTGAGTTTAATTTATTTTCCTTTCACCTCCTCCAAGCTTTTGAGTGAATTTGATTTCATAGTTTTGCAGGGTATTTGCCGCTTCGTTTGGCAAACATATTCCGCTTTTCACGTGCTCCTTTTTTCGCCTGCCTCGTTTCTGCTTAATGCGAACTCGTTGCGGCAGTTAAAGTTGCAGCTGCGCTGGCTGAGGCAATTGTAATTAACTTTTAGATGGCTTTTCTGAGTTTTCCCCGGCTAGTTCGGGGAGGTCGGGAAATGGGAAAACTAGTCAGCGTTAGCGTTGGCTTCTTGCAAATGAAATGCGTATTCTTGGCCTCAAGGAGAACTGGCTTTTCCTCGCTTTCCTCACATTTCCCCGCTTTCTTTGCAATTGTAATGAGATTCAAGCAACACGCACAGAAATGGAAATGCGAGACCTAAATGGGATTTTGCAGACATTCAGGCAAGTTTATTAGATCATCTCGGAATGTGTCCGGGCGCAAATTATAAAGAATTTTGTGGAAAAGAGTTTCTTATGTTTCCTCTAAACTTTATTCATTGCAAGTCAGAATACAGCTATATTGGTGATCATAACTGCGCAAATCTCTTTTGAAATAATATTTCATTTATATGCACTTACTTTATAAATCATTAAGTATAAATAATTATTAACTGTGATCTTAGTTTCAGTATTTAGTGAAATGAAAATTTCACAATTAGTAAGTAAACAACCGAAGTGCAAGTTGAAAACTGAATAATGAAGTACCATTTAAATTCTTGAGTCTTAATTAGAAGTCAATTGTTTTACTCTCGAGAAATACAGCATTTACTTGAGAATATATTTAACTATTATAAGTATGTCGATTTGAAATAAGAATATGTTTAGTTATCAACTCTCAAAGTCCAACAATAAATAAAATAAAGTTAATGATAAGAGCAAATAAAATTAAACAACAAATTTAATCTTAACTTCAAGGACCATTTCATTATTTGTTTGTTATTTAAAGAACATATGTTCTACTTTTGGGCCACTTGGGCCCATGAAAATTGCATTAAGATCGCATTATAAAGCCGGAAAATCGTGAGTGCCACTTGGTGGCTTGAGCTTTATTTAAGGACCGACTTGTCGCCCGATTTCCGCAGGTCCCCCGTGTCCTTGGCCCATTTAACCCCATCAGGAAGCGCTTTGTCTTGGCGTCAATTGCCCGGGAGTGCGTGCTCGAGGGCAATGAATTGCTATGATTTATGTCTCCGCCCGAGACGAGGAATTTACATTTGCCGGCTTTAAAATTTATTCGGCAAATGCCCCGCGGCAGCTGTCAGGCAAAAAAAAAAATAAATAAAAAGGGAGAAACAGGGGCGAAAAAACAGCAAGTTAGGCTGGGGAAAATGAAATCGTGGCAGAAAAATACCCATATCATGCGGCTGTGTTCCCCTACGGTTTGCGATATGATATATCACGATTACTGCTGACTATTGCTTATTTTCAAATCCTTTCCCCAGACCGTTTTTCCACGCTTTTTCCCCGCCCTGCCCCCCAATTTTTCCCAGCCCAAAAGTACATTCTTGTTGCGGCTTGACAAGTAAACAAGCGAATCCATCAATCAACCGCACGTAGAAGGCACACAAAAGTGACAATGTGGGTGGCCTCCATTCCTTGGGAGTCCTTCCTTGGAAGGCAGGGGGGCAACCCTAAAAGTAACCCTAAAAAAAGGCGAATTCGATATGCACGAGTCGTACGAAATGAAATTTCAGACATCACAAAACGACATCGGGATTGGAATGGGTTGTAAAGGAAATAACTTCAATTCTTTCGCCACGAATAAAGATCAAGTGAAGTGTACAAATAGCAAATAGGTTTCTTTATTTCATGTTAAAGTTACCATGAATAGGTATTTAAGTATTTAAGCACTCGCGAAATTGAAAATTATAATTGAAATCTTACTTTAAGGTTTATTTTTGTCTCTAGTTTGTATATTTAATACTTATATTGTGATAATTTTTGTAAAATAACACGATTTAAAGTGAAAACTGATCAGCTTTATAAATTTCTTGTAAATGCAATCAATGGTTCTATGGAATCAGAGTTCAAGTTACTCATTAATAAGTTTTGACATAATAATCGCCCGTTTCCCCTTACAAAAGTTTACCTATAAAATGCTTCTTTCAAGTGATATAACCAAGTTGTTAGTTGTCTCAATTTCTGCAGTATAAAGTGCGCGTCATAAAGCGAATGTCACTTGCTAACCCCGACAACTAACCGCGATTTGTCAGGATTATTGGGGTTTTTACTACCAAGTAATGTTGGGGGAGGGGGGGTTGTTCCTAAGCAGCGTCATCAATATTAAGTTACCAGCGAAAAAAAAAAAGAAGAGAAAACAACGATTTCCGCCACTTTTGACTGATAGACTCGTACTGCTTTGTTCAACTTTATTATTCTTGGCAAACTGCTTCCACTTTCACTATATCTTCTGGGTACTTCCTTTGTATGTTTGGGGCCTTCTTTTCCGGCGGTAGTGGCAAACTTTTTGTGGCTCGTAAATTTTATGAAATAAAATGGCAATAAAACAAGCCGAGAAACATGTGTATGTGGGTGCGTGTTGCTGTTTCAGTTTCTGTTTCTGTATATTCTGCAATTATTTGATTACTTTTGCTCTCAGAATTTATTAGCTAAACAAACATGGAAATTCACACAGAGCCAGAGAGGAAACTTTTGCCGAGGCACGTTTGAAGGGGGCCCGAGTAAATATTGAATTAATCAAATTTCATTCTCTCGTGTGTAATTATTCGTGAGATTATAGCCGCAAAGCAGGGAGTGTGTGTTTGCCCATGTCAAGGGGCTCCACTGAAAAGTTTAAGCTGAGGTACAGCACTCAGATCCCAAATCAGAGTCCCCGAAAAACCCCGATAATCCTGCCGAAACTAGCCTAAGTCCTTGCCCACACACACACACACACACACAGACAGGCGTTTGTCAACAAATACCCCGAAATGAGGGCCAAAATTTGTCACATCGACTTAAGCTACTTACGGGTATAAATGCATGCAAATTCCCCAAAAAGGACACCAGCAGCCGAGTGATGCGTCGATAATGCGATTTCAATGAGCATATGCGTTTATCACATTAAAAGACAATTTGGCATATTAATACAAAAAAAAAAAAAGGGTAAAACGAGGCCCGAAATTGCGGATCAAAAGCATTCGGGACACAATCCTTTTGCCAGGGATTAGGAAAAGGCGAAAAGTTGGCAGAAAGGACTCCTTGACTCCAGGACCGCGAATCGAATCAATAAAATTCAAATTAGTTTTGGGCAATCAGACGAGCCTACTACTGCCAATCGCAATCCCATCCTGGCCCAATCATTTAGCCATTGCCCTGGCACAAAAAGGATGCGCCCTTCTGGCCAAAAGTGTTTGTGGCCACTTGAAACAAAAGAAAATCATCTTCTGGCGCCACCAAAGGGGGGCGGAAAAATGCCGGGAAAATCGGGCGAGTTGTTATCCGGACAAATCAAATCAGAATCAAGTAATTTGCCATGATTCCTCAGCGCTGTGACCGCAAGCTCAATTAAATTACCGAAAATCT